TCCCCTCCCCTCTCCTCCCCTCTCCTCCCCTTCTTTCCCCTTCCCTCCCCTTCCATTTCTTTTCTTTTTTCAGACAGTCTCACTCTATCACCCTGGGTAGAATCTGTGGCTTTATAGCTCACAGTAACCTTAAACTCTTAGGCTGAAGTGATCCTTCTGCCTCAGTCTCCCAAGTAGATGAGGCTATAGTGGCCCACACACCCAGCTAGTTTTTCTTATTTTTAGTAGGGACAGGGTCTTGCTTTGGCTCAGGCTGGTCTTGAACTCCCGAGTTCAAACAATCCACCCACTTTGGCCTCCCAGAGTTCTGAGATTACAGTGTGAGCCACCGCATCTGGCCCGGATCAGAACTTCTCAATAAACTGCTCCCAGACAAGACGGGAGTGGCAGATGCTAGAGTTATTCACCTGCCTGAAATAAATGAAAAAGAAAAAAGAAAGAAAACCAGGAAACATACATTAAAAAAATGGTAATAAAGACTGTGATGCCAGATAACAAAGGCCAGTGATCCCTGAGACACAGGAGAGGAGCAGCACCAGCCTGTCATGGCCCTGGCCGACTATAGGGGGAGGAGTGGAGTTTCAGGCTGTGGCACAAAGCAGGGAGCCCAGGCCAAGCCCAGCAGCTTAAACTTCTGAGTCAGAAGGTGGAGACGAGAGTCCGGGAGTCCAAGGCAGCTGGAGCGTGCAGAAGCAAGTGACAGAGAGAAAACACCGCTCCTCTGCTGAGGGTCCACCAGAGAACTGAGGGGTCACCAGAGCAGGGACTGGGAGATGCCGTGATGACACCACTCAGGGCCGGGCAAAGAGCAAACCAAACCAAAGAGCTGGACCAGAACACTGCCCAGCTCTCCCACGGGCCAAGAGCGGCTCATCACCCACGAGGCAGCAGGCAGACATCTGCCTCTGCAGAAGGAAGAAGGAACCTCAGAGAGAAGCTGCCCAGCCACCATCACAGGGCTCAGACTGTTTCCAGTGACTGAGCTGCATCTCAGAACAAAGCCTGCGAATATTATCTGGAATGTAAAAGCAGCCGTTAACAAGGTGAAGTGCACAAGTCTGGCATCCATTAAAAAAAATCAAGCATCAAAGAAACAGAAAAATGAGCCCTATTAGGTAGAAAAATCAAACTGAGATGTTAGGCACCGAGGAGGTAGAGGCCGTAGAGTAGTATATAGCTGTATTCTGTACATTTGAAGAGTTAAGTGTAGATATGGACAATATGCTCTAACAACAAAACAAATCAGAGGCGAAACCAGCAAGGTGTGAGAAAAAATGTGTTGCATGGGATTCTGGGAAGATTAGACATTGCAAAAGAAGACTGGTGACCTTGAGGCCATAACAATTAAAACTAAAATGGAACAAAAAGAAAGACAAAGAGACAAAAGATTGTTTTAGATGGAAAGAACACAAGTAAGGTGTGGGACAACTTTGAGTGGCCCAGGACACCTGCAGTTGAAACCAATGAAAGCAGGTTTTCTGAGCTTGATAAAAATTATAAACCCCCAGATCCAGGAAGGCTCAGCAAAAGCCAAGCAGCACAAACATGACCACAGTCACACCAACACACATCACAGTGAAATTGCTTAAAACCAGCGACTGAGGGAAAATCTTAAAAGCAGCCTGAGAAGGAAGGTACTTTCCAGATAGCAGTGGTTCTCAACCTGTGGGTTGTGACCCCTTTGGGGGTTGAACGACCCTTTCACAGGGGTCGCCAAAATACTTCCTGCATATCAGATATTTACATTACGATTCATAATAGTGGCAAAATTACAGTTATGAAGTAGCAATGACAATAATTTTATGGTTGGGGGTCACCACAACATGAGGAACTGTATTAAAGGGTCGTAGCATTAGGAAAGTTGAGAATCACTGACATACAGAGAATGAAGATAAGGATAATGTGGAGCAAAAACCAATAAAATTGCAAGAAAAATAGACACCATCACCATGATACCATGTGATTTCAATACCCCTCCTCAATGATGGATAGAACTAGTGAAACTCAGCAAGTGCCTCCCTGTGTTAGAACAACATCAACCACCCTGACCGAGGTGGCAGTCATAGGCCACTTTCTCAACAACAGCAGAGCACACATTCTTTCCAAGTGCAAATGAAAAATTTACCAAGTCACCTGGGCACAGTGGCTCACACCTGTAATCCCAGCACTCTGGGAGGCCGAGGTGCATGGATTGTTTGAGATCACAGGTTCAAGACCAGCCTGAGAAAGAGTGAGTCCCTCATCTCTACTAAAAATAGAAAAAACTGAGGCAAGAGGATCGCTTCAGACCAAGAGTTAGAGGTTGCTGTGAGCTATGATGCTACAGCACTCTACCTGGGGCAATAGCTGAATGCTCCGTCTCAAAAAAAAAAAAAAATTTACCAAGTCAGATCATATTTTGGGGTCATTAAAACAAGTCTCAATAACTGTCAAAGGATTTCTGCCGTATGAAGTGTAGTCTCTGACCACAATAGAATAAAATTAGAAATCAGTTACATAAGGACATCTGGAGAATCTCCAAATCCATATAAACTAAATAATACTTCTAAATAACTCATGAATCAAAGAAGAACTCAAAAGGGAAATTAAACTGAATCACAAGGGAAATTTTGGACTGATTGGAAGTGAAAACACACCCTGTTGAATCCGTGCGGTGCTGCTGACGGAGTAACTTACGAGAAGCTGGAAGCCCTAAGCCCTGAGTATTCACGTGCATTAGAGAAGTTAGAAAGGCTTCGATGACCCCAGTTTTTACGTGAATAACTATAAAAAGAACAAATTAAACCCAGTGTAAGCAGAAGAAAGTAAATAATAAAAACCAAAGCAGAAATCAGTGTAACTGATAACAGGGGGGAAAAACAGAGAAAATGAATGAAATCAAAAGCTAATTCCTTGAGAAAAGACAATATAATTGACAAGTCTCTAGCCAGGATGATCAGTACAAAAAAAAAAAAGACCCAAATCATCACTATCAGAGACAAGAAAGGTAATATCACTACCTATTCTACAGATATTAAAATGATAAAAAGGAGGTATTTTCAAAAACTTCATGCCTATGTATTTTACAATTGAGATTAAATGCAAAAATTCCTTTAAAATGCATTACGAAAGCCCCTCGAGAAGAAATAGACAAGCTGTGTAGTTCTATATTTACTAACAAATTGAATTCACAGCTTTCAAAATTGTCTGATAAAGTAAACCTTGTCCTAGATAGTTTTACTGGTCAATTATATCCAATATTTAAGAAAGAAATAGTACCAATTCCAGGCAAACTCATCCAGAAAACTGAAGCAGACAAAATATTTCTAATTTTTTTTCTAGGAGAACATTACCCTGATACCAAAATGAGAAAAAGACATAAGAAAAAAAAAATAACCAACATCCCTGATGGTCATTGCTGTCCCCTCCCTTGGGTGAATCCCCCTTTAGCGGTTTCTAAGCCCCAGCTGCTAACTGCCCCGGCCTCCAGCTTAGAGCCTGTCCACACCTGTTTGCTCATTTGCTTTGAATGGACTGTGAGACCCCGGAGGAAACTTCTTCTTATGCCAGTGCTGAGAATATAGTAAGTGTCTGATCAACATTCTTGGATTCAGTGTTGAAACTGGGAGGCAGATTGAACATAAGTGTTAGAGGATCAGATTCAACTTGGAATGATGTGATGAAATGAACATACAAAATCCAACATAAATAAAAATTGTCACGAATTCTGCTGATGACTGAAAAGTAAATAGCACCCTATAGAGAGGAAGGTAGAGAAGCAGCCTCTGCCCAGAACGGAGGCGAAGGGACAGGCTTGTGACCTTCAAAGTCTATTAGTCTTGACAAGTGACACTTAAATTCTGACTATACCAAATTATTAGTCTTAAATCATCCTAATAATCCCATTACACCATGATCGCTGGCTGTGAAGGGAACTCTCTGGGAGAGTGTGAAGAAACTCTTCTTCAGGACTTCCTGAGGAAGTGTCCTCATCTCTAATGATAAGTTCTCACAAGACCAGGGAGACATTCTCCTCCTTCCACAGACATTTTCTCTCTGGATGTGATGTCTGTAGCAGCCACCTAGCAGCCAAAAAGGAAGGGTTCTGCCATCCTGAGGCCAAGCCAGCACCAGCACAAGAGATGGCATCTGCCCTGAGTCTAAACTTCTGTTTAGTGAGAGAATATATTCCCTTAAAACTTCCATCATTTCAGGTCTTGTTTTACATTATTTTTTTTTCAAAACCATGGCAAAGGCTACAGCACTATAAGGTAATAGTGCAACTTGGGGGTGCATTCATGTTAAGTACTGTTTCCAAGGCAAATGTGGAGTGTGAGAGATCATATATTAGTTAGGTGAAGATCGTGTTGCTGCTGTAACAGAAAGTCCTCGAGCCTCACATGGCTAAACAGGATAGAAGTTTATTTCTCAGGCAATCTCAGAGATGTCACTGCAGTTGCCAGCTCAGAAGGGGCAGCTCTGTCATCTTAAACACAAGGCTTCCAAACTTGCTCCTGGCATCACTTACACCTGGAAAGGAAAAAAGGGCATAAAGAAGGGGATGTGTGATGTCTCCAGGAGCAGTCTCAGAAGCAGGAATTGATGCTTTCTGTAGAGGCTAGAAGAAGAACTCAGTCACGGCTGCACCCAAATAGTCTGGGGCCGCAGCTGTGGGGCAAAGGCGGAGACACACGTGCTGAGCCGTTAGTTAGCCCTCAGCACAGGGCACTTTCTCAGACACACGTGCTGAGCCGTTAGTTAGCCCTCAGCACAGGGCACTTTCTCAGACACACGTGCTGAGCCGTTAGTTAGCCCTCAGCACAGGGCACTTTCTCAGACACACGTGCTGAGCCGTTAGTTAGCCCTCAGCACAGAGCACTGTTGTGCCTGAATTTCCCTGAGTCCCCAAGCCCATGAAGGGACAAACTGAGACACAATCCGATGTAAAAGCAAGAGGCAAGCTTTATTTAGCAAGCTCGAGCTCAGACCCTCTCTTGGCAAACATACCAAGGAAGGCCCCGAGCCTAGGGGGTTGGAAAGTTTTATTGGGTACAGAAAGCAAGAAGGGTGAAGAGGGGTGGGGTACATTTTTGATTGGTGGTCGGGGTATGGGGAAGTATGGGTGATTGGTGGTCAGGGTTTGGGGAAGTACGGGGAGGCTCTGGATTGGTACAGGTATGAGGGGTGGGGGATTTCCTAACTGGGGTCTTAGGGTGGTATGAAGCAAGAAGGGTGGGGAGCGCTTCTGATTGGCTGACTGGGGTGCTTGATTTCAGGGAAAGGCCAGGGTTTTGGGGAAGCTGAAGTTTATTATCTAAGATGGCGCGAGGGCTCAAAATGAGGAACAGAACTTAGGCAGTAAACAACAAAATGGCGCTGGTCTGGCCCTCTCACACTTTCTTCCTGATCTTCTCGCTCTTGGACTGCTGTTCTGGGAAGACACAAAAAGTACTACCAGGGCTGTAAGAGAATCACCAGAAGTCCACTAGCAGATGAGGTGACTCAAAGCCACATCCCATAGGTACGGAGGTGGTGGGCTCACCAGGGCAGGAGGAGGAACACAACACCTCCCATGGGACAGACTTCCATGTGGAGAAAAGGTTAGAGGAACTAGTTTTCATGCCTGAGTAAAGACCTTCTGCTTGGTGCAGTTTCCAGAGTGGGTTAAAAGAACATTGGCAGAGAACAAAAGAAGCACAGCAGGTGAAGTTCCTGGAGATTAGCACAAAGAATGCTGATGAGACCCCTGAGGACACACACAGACCTGGTGACTCCTACTCAAGTTTGAGGAAGATGAGGAAAATAATTTCTCTTCTGTGCAATTAAGCAACTTCTATCCTTTGATGTGCTGCAAAAGTCTTTGACCTAAGATTTACCGACTTCCAGTGTGTCTAAATCTAGAATAAAGACTAGGGCAACTGAAATGCAACTATTTATCTCTAATGCAGAAGACACTTATGACCTGGAAAGTTCCACCTTCATCCACTTCTGGTATGAAATTCTTAGTCTCACTAGAAGTCGGTTTTCAGGGCTGGCCTCTGTCCTACGAGCATCTTCTCTGACCCAGCACAGTGTGTCGGCTGGGCGTGGACATGGACTTGGACACTGATGACCATATCCTTCAAGAAATAATACTGAACTAGCAGGTAGTTTTGTTAGTAACTAAATGAGGACTTTTTATCCTGTGGAGAGAACCTTAAGACTTTGAAAACACATTCTTTTTCTGGCCTTCACTGTGGTAATTTATGTGCTCTATAGAATGACAAAACTACACATTGTTGTCTCTAGCACCGCAAACATTTCCACTTATTTATTAAGGCGAAGGTAGCAAATCTGGATCCAGAAGTGGAAGAAATTAGACACTGCTGACAGATGTTTTCCCAAAAGGTCAGATGGCTACACGTGCAGTCAAGCGGCCCTGTCACCTGAGACCGGAGATCAAATTATCAAGGTAGTGCCTGTGGACAGCCTGATTCCTTGCGTTCACTGGCAGACTTGGATTCCTTTGTTGACTTCTGTCTGGGATATGATGCTGTTCAAAAGTTCTGCTGAGCCTTTCATGGCTAAGGTAAACTGAAATGTGCTGTTTCTTTAGGAGCAAATTGTCAGCTAGCTCAACTACCATGTCAACAAAACCGATTTATGATTCAGGCAGAGTTCCCAGGGTTCTGTGCTTTGCTAAATTCTCTAATCCTCTCACCCATATTTTCTGCTGGTGTTCTCTATGGAGATATTTGGTTACTGATACAAATATATTACTCTGATACTAATAACCCAGAATTTTTCAGCTTCCAAAAATATTGACTCTACCTTTTCAGTCTAAGAGCCCTCCCCTCCCCTGTCTTGGTCTTGGTACAGCAGTAAGTGGGAACAGATGGTGTGAGGGCCACAGACATGGCTGGAATCTCACTGGGTAAAAACCAGAGCAATTCACGAGCTCAGATGCCTTCGTGTTTTACAAATTTCACCCTTAAAAGATACATAGGAACAAGGACAAACCATAGGCTGGGTTGGAGAAAGGAGGTGTCCAGAGGCGGCTCTTCTTGTTTTGGAGATTTCTGATTAGGGCCATTCTCTTGTCTGCTAGAAAAATCATTATATTTTTTATTAGTTTTTAAGTTAATGCCACTTCAATTTATTTTAAATTAGCATGCTGTAATAACTTACATTATTTTTCATTAAATTTACTTTGAGATAATTGTAGATTCACATGCAGTCATGAGAAATAATATGGAAAGAGCCTGTGTACCTTTTCCCAATTTTCTTCAACGGTCACTTGGAAAACAACAGGACAAAATGCCAGCCAGGATACTGACACGGGCACAGCTAACTCTGTCACCAAGGTCCCTCCTCCCTCCCTCCTCACCTCCTCCCCCTCCCTGACCCTGGGCAACCAGGGACTATCTCAACTTCTCTAATTTTGTCATTTTAAGAATTTTATATAAATTGAATCATATTGATACCAGAATTTCTTCCTCTGTAGGTTCTTGGTCTCGGTGACTTGAAGAATGAATCCATGGACCACAGATCAGTGGTAAGACAGGATTTATTTACAGAAAAGAATACAGAAACACCAGAGCTCTTGGCAGAGAGAACCCAGGTGAGGGGGTAGGGGATGGGAAAGCTCCCTCTCTCGCTTTCTGTCTCTCTGGGCTCTCTGTCCAGGGGTATATATAGTCGCATGGGGTCCTCTGTAGTCACGTTTATCCCCAACTCAGTTGTTAGTTTTAGTGTGCCTGGGTCCTCTATAGTTACACTTAGCAGGAACTCAGTTGTTCCTTTCAGCGTGTAGCATCTGTAGCAAATGATGGCTACAATCCCTTTCATTCCCAGGCCCTAGGAAACTTACATGAAATTGACCAGGGCTAGGAAACTGGGGTTCTCTTTCAGCAACAAGCGCAAGGAGAGGGAGACCTAAGGTGCTGGTTTCTCCCCAGCAGTTGTCCAGCCCCTCTGAGCCTCCTGGGCATGGGGTGGGGGGAACCTGCCTACCCTCCAGCCAGCTGGTTCCTCTGCAGCTGCTACTGTACCAACTCCACCAAGGCAGAGGCAGCGGTCCGCCCCTCAGCTCCACCCAGCTGGCCCAGGACACCTGTCCTGTGTCAATATAGTATGTAACTTTCTGAGAGCAGCAATTTGTGCTCAGCAGGGTTCTCTGGAGAGTCACCCAGGTCACGTCCATACTCTTGTTTTTCTTGATTGCTCAGTAGTCATGCCTGGTGTGAAGGGACCATGGATTGTTTAGTCATCCAGTCTGTGAACGCTGTCGGGGAACTTTCCAGTGCAGGGCTGTTACGGATGAAGCTGCTATGGCATTTATGCCCAGCACTTTGTGTGAATATGAATCTCCATTTCCTTGGAATCAAAGATCTAGAGTATTTGTGTTTCATTTTGTAATAAACTGCCAAACTAATTTCCAGAGGGGCTATAGCATTTTGCATTCCCACCACTAATTTATGAGTGATGTGGTCTCTCCATCCCTGCCAGCACTGAGGTGTTGTCACTGCTGTTCTAGCTCAGCCTCCCTAAGGTCTATAGTGATGCATCCTTGTGGTCTAACCTGGCTTTTCCCTGATGGCTAGTGACGGGCCCATCTTTCTGTGTGTTTATTTGCCATTCGTACATGCTCTTCAGTGAAATGTCTGTTTTATCTTCTGGTTCCATTTTCTAATTAGATTATTTGTATTTTTACTGTTCAGTTCTTTTAGATTCTGGTCTTTGTTGAATTTGTGTTTTGCAAATATTACCTTCCAGTCTGTAGATTTTCCTTTCATCCTCTTAACAAGGTCATTGGTAGGGAAACAGTTGTTAAATTTTAGTTTCCAACTTACCGATTTTTTTCTTTTCTTGCATCGTGCTGATTTTCCCCTTTGTTTTTTTCCCAAATAATATAGCTTTATGTTTTGCCTTTAAGTTCATGATCCATTTTGAGTGTGTTTAAGTAAGATCTGAGGTGTACATAACAGTTCTCTGGTTTGGGTTATTTATTTGTTTACTTATTTTGGCTTTTGCTTCTGGATGTCCAATTGCTCCAGCAACATTGCCAAAAATCTTCCTTCCTTCCTTGAATTTCTTTAGCACCTTGATCAAAAAGGAGCAGGGCGTATTTGTGTGAATCTATTCTGGGCTCTCTATTCTGTTCCGGGGAGCTATCGACTTCTCCTCTGACAGCATCTCCTGGTCTCGCTTGCTGTGGCCTCCCAGTGCAGCGGCCTTCTGCTCTGTGGCAGCCAGTTCCTCCCCTCTCCCCTCTGCCTCACCATCCAGGAAACCAGCTGCCTGTGAGAGTTATAAATTATATCACCCACAACGTTTGGAAAAAGACGCTCACCTTCCGCAGGCATTGATAGGTCCCTCAAAGGTCAGTGCACATTCCTGGACTTTTACAACTTCGATTTCTTGCCCCTGCCTGGCAACAGGACCAGGAGGATGGTTCAAATAAATGCAGAAACTTCTGATAGTAGAGACTGCAGGAAGGAGGCCCCACAAACACAAATCTTTGGAAAATTACTCAACTTGGGACCATTACAGAGAATGCTTTTCCAAGATCTCTACTTTTTCTCAGGCAAGGGCTAGTATTTCAGTAATATTTAACTGGCTCCATTATATAGAAAATCTATAATGGCAAGAAAATCAAGAAGGTGAGTACGGAATAAGCTTTCTTCCCACTGTCCCAGAGATTTGGGAGACATTCATGCTGGAATAGTGAATGGTGACATTTTTGGATGTGTCTCACTGGTGTGTGCTAGCAATAACTTGGACTCTTTCTTTTCCACTCAAGAAAAATCTAGGGGAATGCTGGTTGAGTAAACTTGGCCTTGTCATAGAGGAAACTTGTGAATCTGGTCTCACGTTCCCTCTTCTTGTTCCTACTTAAAACTAGTTAATTGCCAAGCCTTGCAACTTTATGCTGAGTAATAAACTATCCTATAGATACCTGCTGGTGTAACACCAATGTGGGAACTGCTGCATTAGAATTTATCCAAGATAGATGGCCACTCTCAAACCTCGAGGGAAAAGGATTCAGTCTTTTGCTCCAGGTGCTGTGCTCATGACATGGATGAGGTATGTCCTAGATTTTTCTGTGATTTTATCCCAGGTGAATGAGTCACTTACCGCTGCCTTCTATGATGTTGGAAGGCCCTGGGGGTACACGCTGACAACCGGCTGGTATTTTAGGGAAGGTACGCGTGTAGTTCTACCTAAACATCTTATTTAAAATATCCTCCAAAAACTTCATCTTTGGTTATTAGTTCCTCTTTTCCAGAGTCAAAGAACTCAGATGATCCACTCATTTTATAATTTTATGATAATCAGCATGTACTAACCAAAACCACTCCTATAGAGCCATCCATAAATTAAGATCTACACAGAGTTTAAAAATGCAAACTTTTGAGTACTTTGTTGTATTTTTGTTGTCAGATTAGTGTAATTAAATTTCTTGGAAAATCTGAAATTAATGAAAAACTGTAGCATATGTCCTCAAATATTTACATCTGCTTAAATGTGTTGGGGATTGAATTATTCCTCCCTCCAAAAAACAGGTATTGAAGGGCTAATCCTTAGTACCAGGGAATGTGGGCTTATTTTAGAGATGATCGATTTAAGATAAGGTCATTAGGGTGGGTCCAAGTCCAGTTTGACTGTGTCCTTGTAAAAACAGAAGCTGGGGGAACAGGTCCTTCTCTTGTACCTTCAGAACCAATGTGCCTTGCAACATCTTGACCTTGGACTTCTGACTTCTAGACTGTGGAAGAATAAATTTGTATTTGTGGTGCTTTGTTAGAATAGCCCTGGCAAGCTAAGACAGTATTTTGTCTATTATTTTGGGCAATTGTAGTTTGTATGACTCCAGACTGAAATAGAAACTTCTTCAGGAAGAAGCCAGCTGATAGTGCATGTTAGTCTTTGAAAATTCAGTCCCACGGTCTTGACCCCACTAGGAGACAATCGGCTGGAGTAGATGAATTATGTTTTCACAGTAACACAGAAGCCCTGGTTTATGTCCTTGCTGCCTCAAGTGCCGTTCCAGCTCACATCTAAATAAAAAAGGATTAACAATGATATTTCAGCTTTACTGGAGCTCTGTCTGCCAGGAGAGAATGAATCATCAGCCACAGAAACATTCCTTCTCGCAAAGTCATCACAGGCAGTCTTAGCATAATCCATGGAAGCGGAGAAAATTCATTTCAGAAGGCTGTCTGTTCCAACTCTGCTGTCTGGGGTTTAAGTTCTTTTCACTTCTAGTGTATCAACTATTTGTAAATCAGATCTAAATAGTTCTTTTAAATTTTGTTAGCTTTTCTTGTGATGCCCATCAAGGGAAAAAATCCGAGATATACTTAGAAATACAGAAAAGCTTTATAAAACCCCACAAAAATAAATGTATCTTAACAGCTGTGACCCTATAATTTCTTCATTTCCTTTCTTGAGTAATACAATAGCTTCTTCTCAAAAGCTTCTCATTTGGACATAATTTTAAACTTAACAAAAATTCACAAGAGTAACTCAGAAGCACTCAGACGCCCTTTACCCAGAGCCACCTATTAACGTTTTGTGCTACTGGCAACATTATTTGCCTTCCTTCTATCGGTAGACATTGCTCAGTGCTTCTTTTTGCTCAATAATCAATTTTCTAGATATTTACTGAGTACTGAGCTCTGTGGGAGCCCCAGTGGCAGAGGAATGTAGTAAGACAACTCAGCTAGCAAGGGCAGAGCCCGGATGTAGAACATGTTTGAATGATCACTTTCAGTCAAATCAAGAATGAACATACTGATTCAACCATCGAAATAACGGGCTGCGTTCTTCCTGAGCACACCTCATTTTAATTTAATATTCACATCATTAATGGCCCTGCCTAGTGTCAGGATCTGCTTCTGATACCACTTTTCAGGGCCCAGGACTGGCCAGGTCTCAGGCCCAGCTTAGGCAGGTTCTGGACGTAGACCGCTAAGCTCCCTTGCTCAGGAACAGTTTCTCTTAAGTGTTTGAAGGCTATCTACTTTAGCTGGAGAGAGAGAGAGAGAGAGAGAATCTTAGAGAGAGTAAAGCAGTCTTCTTAGCATGGATAGAACTTAGTC